TCACCTGAGGCTGTGGGATCCTGATACCATCCCTCCCTCCATAAACCACCACACAAAGATGGACAGATAATACTGTTCTTTCACCACCTTGATGCCCACAGAAATCCATTCACTCCCTCTCCCTGAACCTTCAGCCCTGCCCTGAAACTGATCCAGCCTTTTTTTCCTCCACAATTTTCTCACACTCACAGCTGTGACTCTTTAAACAGACCGACATATACTCATATACACTCACACACTTCAATGCATCTGTGCATAAAAGATAATGCATTAACTTCAGCACATTATTGCTTTGTTCTAAGTGTTATTAGTTTTGTGTTTGGATTAGAGAGCAGTAATTTTAACTTTATTACATCAGCGATTTAATATTATATAGCTAGCGCCATGCTCTCGGGGTTTCCCAATTCAGGGGTTCACGATGTTGATAAAAAAGCTAATAATTTATTTAAAATTAATAAGATAACTGTGATATAAGCCACTGTATTCAGCATCTCTGTTCACCGCAAACAGCGAAATCCATCTCTGCATGTGCTGTGAGTTTTGGGAATGCAACATCCGCTAGATTTACGTCTTTTACATATTCGCGTAATTTCCAACATTTTTGTGCACCGAATTTTACAGCATTTTAGCAGTTTTCAGCTGAATTAGAGCTTAAAGATTTGAAATGTTTGAAAGTAAAGAATTTAAAGGGTTCATATGATGCTCTTTAATGTTTTCCTTTAGTGTGTAATGTATCTGTTTGTGCATGTGTATGATCTGCAATGTTGCAACGCTACAATGTGAAATATTAGCATAATGTCCACCCAAAGGCATATGCAAAGAAAGAAAGCAACCGTTTCAGTAAACTGTAGTGTCGTCATGTTGTGGAAACGCTGTGTGTTTGGATGCAAAAGCAAAACCCCTTTTGCTTTCAGAGGTTACTGTAGGTACAGCACATTTTACAGAGGACAGCTTTCTGAACATCAGAGAGTCCAACGCAGATATTCAAATAATATTTTTACATTTTGTTGGCTAAACCTTACGTTTTTTTCCCATTCCACTGCGCTACCTTTCCATTCTTTTTCTATGTAAACATGCACTTGAAGAACATGTTTGACTGTTGCACTCGCGTCTCGCTCTGCTGTGCTTTTGTTTATGCTCGTAAAGCTGCTTCGCCAAGCGCGCACTTGCTGTGTTGCCATGTCCTCTTATTTTAGGCATCTTTGGGCTTGTTATTTTTTCCATATTAATAGGTGAAGTGACAACTTAGTTCCGTTGGAGTGTGTACATGGTCTTTAGCCAGTGTCATAGTTCTTTGAACGAGAAAAGTCAGCTGTTAATCTAGTCGAAATGCTTACGCAACAGGGGTGGCCGGAGGGGTAGCCGGAGGGGTGGCCAAGCTTCAATCAGGGGTGGCACTGGCCACCCATGGTCACCCCCTAGTTACACCCCTGAAACCATTCCAAAAAGGTTGTTTTAAAACTAAACCCTAAATTCTAAGACAACATCGCATACATCCTTTGCAGAGAAGCAAATCCCATGATGTATTGCTCAATGATAAGATGATGAATGAACCATGAGAAATGTTGATTATAAATAAACTTGCAATCCATTTAATAACAAATTATTGATGAAAAATACTTAAACATAATTTAAAAAGGTCTGTTTTACCCAATATTATTATTCGGGTGTGATGTGCCTGTGTATTTGTATGTTTGTTGCCATACATGAATTTCTATGGAAGACACCCGTTCCACTGGGTTCACCTCAAAGCGATTGGCTGGCACTCTGCGTTTTTCTGCGTTGCACTCGTGCATTTCTTACATTTTTGATGCTTGCATTAGCTTAGCAAAACACTAACACCATATTGAAATCAACCATAAGTCTAGTCTCCAGCTATTTACATGATGAGCTCTAACTGAAGTCGCATTGGGTTCGTGAGTCACTTTTGGATATAATAATATGCATAAATGTATGATGCAAAGATTTTGTACAATAATTGATATGTAGAGTGATGTTCCACATTGGCCACTTGTGAGGTTCATTTCATGATGCTAAGAGTGAGAGAACAGCCCAATTCAGACAACAATATAAATGTGGCGAGCAGGACGAGGCCGAGGGCCGTGAGAGAGCGGCGCGAGGCCGGTGGCGTGATAACTGATGAGCGACACCTGCGCGACGCACCGGTCTCGTATCTCTCACAGAGGAGCGGAAGCATAAAAGGAGGAGTGATGGCAGTGAAGGAAGAGAGAGGCCAGGCCTGGATTTATGTTGTGTTTTATTTTGTTATATGTGACAGCAGTCGTCCGTGAGGGGCTGCTGTCTTTACTTTCGTTTTGTATTTGTTTAATTTTTTTGTTTGTTATTAAAGTATTTAAATGTTCGCAGGTTCCCGCCTCCTTCTTCCCGCAACAACGAACTGCGTTACAATATATATATTTAAAAAAAACTAGCAAACCCTACTTGTACCATCCTGTCAGTCTCCTAGAGCTGGCAATTTATTTTGAAGGGATTCTGGGGCCTAAAGCTGGTTGTAATGCGGCACTGCACCCTACAGTAATTACAGCGGGAGTATATTGTAATGTTTTACATGAGAGAGATGTGGGTCATGAGACTCATCTTTCTTTCATTGGGGGTTTCTGTGACTCATCGAAGAGTTTGATATCCACAACCCCTCCCTTGAGATTCTGATCATAAGATTAGCATTATGTGTGATGACTTAGCATAGTGACTAGACTTTCATGATCTCAACCACAAGACAAACAAAAGAGTTGGTTTCCCTCTTGGGGCCTTGGGCATCTCTCTTTTTTGTTTCGGTTTGTATTAAGTTATATCATAAAATCACACCAGTATTAAATCACAGTGGCCTAATTAAAGATTTGGCTCATTTGTAGTGATGGTGTCTGCTCTGTTACTAAAATGATGTCAATACGTCAGAAAAATAAGAGAGAATAAACATGTTTCGTATAAGAAAGAGCCAGGAAATGATGAGACACAGTGGGAGGGTAAGAAAGACACATTTTCTAGTCAAGGCAATGACCACAGAGGAAATAAACACAAATTGAAGAGGAGTGGAGAAATAAACAAGCTGTAAATTATGATGTTCAGGTTTGACTTAACCAATCGAAAACCAATTCTGTGGTTCACGACACTGTAACCAAACTACTTTCATTGGCAGCAATATTGCGATTGTGATGTTGCTTTTGTGAATGTTATATTGAAGAACAAATATGACCAAATATATTGTTTATTTTTGCTCCATCAATGAAAATCGTTTGGTTACAATGTTGGTATGGATCGGTATGTGGTGAACACAGACAAGCGGAGAAACACTGAAGTAACCGAGTGCCGTTATATGAAATATCAGCGGCCTTATTAAATTATAGGACCGAAACAATACCCATTATGTTACAAAGACACTCTTATCTTCAGCCACTACACCAATACATAAAATTAAAAGGAAATGTAGTGCTGCAATCTTTCACCCTCATCTTTTTCTCTCACACACACTCTATCTATCCGCTCTAATCAATAAGTGCATAATCAGTTTAAAGACTGAGAAAGCCAAACACTGACCGCAGAACTCACGGTTCAGTACGATCCCTGGCACAGCATGTCTACCATCTCGCCAGCCAGCATTACTACCTCCATATGCTCAGCGTAATGCTACTGAGGTCAGATCAAGGTTAAATGAAAACTTCCCTATCAGCAAGCCCAGAAACAGCACACCAGCTTATATAGCTTTAAGGAAACAACTTTAAGGCTGCAATCCAAATAGATAGAGGCAAACAAATGCTTCTATACAACACCTCTAGTGCATCTACTTTGAAAAAGTTTCTATTAAAGGGATACTCCACCGTTTTTTCATATTAAACTATGTTATTCTCTTATCTAAGACGAGTAGATACATACCTCTCTCGTCTCAGTGCGTCCACTTAATCGCTCTGTCGGGCGGAGAACTTTGAGAGCAGTTAGCTTAGCCCCATTCATTGTATATGGGCCAAACAGAGATGAAGTTAGAAGCGACCAAACACATCCACGTTTTCTCTATTTAAATATAGTTACACGAGTAGTTACACGACCAAGTATGGTGACACTAAATAAAATGTGGCGCTTTTTATAAGCGGGTAAAATGGATAACTATAATGTATGGCGGAATAGCACTTATTGGGAGCACTTCGACTCGGCGCTGTAATATCTTCACTCGTGAAAAGTCCTCTCCCCCTCTCCCTCTCCCTCTCCCTGTCATTTCCGTCAATAGAACCAACGTGACCTGCACGCCTGCAGTAGTAGTAGTTTTTTGTGCAGAGTTGACGAAGTATCAGGGATAGGGGGGAGAGGGAGACTGTGTCGTCTGCGTATAGCAGTGAAATGACAGACCGTATTTTTTAAAAATGGACCCAAGAGGAAGCATATATAAAGGAAAATAATAATGGAGCTAAAATAGAGCCCTGCGGAACTCCATAGTGTAGGTGTGCTGTACTCGAATAACGTTCTCCCATCTTAACTGAGAAACTCCTATTTGTTAGAAATGATATTAACCATTTCAAAGCTGTACCTCCTATACCAACATAGTGCCTTAGACGGTCAGTTAGGATAGTATGATCAATTTGAAAACAATTTAAAAACAAAACATTGGCTCAACTAATGGAGTGAGTTTTGGAGGCGGCACTATTTTTCCAACACTGGCAGATGGAGAAGTGATCTGGAAACGTTTTCAGTCTTATTTTTTTTATCTTTGTAAATTACATGGTTTACCTTCAAGAACTTGCATGATAAGGGCAGCAGAGGTGATGTCGTTGCAACTGAGACAGTTTAATGGTGACATGACAGCTGCCCTTTAGAAAAATATCCCCCTGATATGTTCAAACACGCACTATTGTTTGTATAAAAGATCAGGAAAACCTGCAGATCATCCAAGTGTCTTCAGCAATATTTTGCTTCTATAAAACATGATCTATATAGAAATAAAATTTTCACTTCAGCTGTGTTTGCTCAACTGATAAATAAGTTGTACTCACTGGCCATGCATATTTAAATGGGATTACAATCCGTCCATTTCTGCTGTCACTTCCCTCATTTCCATGGTGATGTAAGGTGTGGGAGTTGCCACCCAGGACAGGTGTGCTGCCAGTGCCGTAAGTACAGGTGCCGGTCGGTGAAACCCGAGCCTGGTACTCCTTCAGACAGGCCTTGAAGAAGGTGTCACACTGATCACCTGATGAGCAGCGCTGCCCCCCGCTGGCCTGGGGGTCACAGCACTGACCACTCTGTAGAAAGCCCTGAGGGTTCAGCCACTGTCGAATCTCCACCTCAAATTTGCCCACCGCAGACACAACCTACGGGAGATCAAAAAAGCAAGGTTAAATAAACAGGAAATATGAAGTGACCGAGTGCATGAAGTCAATAAGATATCAGTTTAATGTTGCACATCTAAATTTTTAGTTTATGTTAATAAAGTGCAGGTGCCATGAGCCAGAAGGGAACACACATTTCAACCTAAGTTTGTCGAGGCTCTTTAGTAGTAGGCCTACACTAAAGTATACTTCGGGGCGCACTGTCCGCTTGCAGCCCAATTTTTATGTTTTATGCGATGCGAGTACAACAGCGCATGTGGAAGTGACTTGAGCGTGGTTGAATGAATCTCCTCAACCACCAACATTGTGCAGCATCCACTTGGATGATGCGACGGCAGCCATTTTGCACCAGAACGCCAACAACACACCAGCTTTTTGGTGGAGGAGCCGATCCGTATATGGGGATGATTAGGAGGCCATGAGGGCAAATTTTAGGGCTGGGTATTGACACAAATTTCACAATTCATTCGATTTCGATTCACAAGCTTGCAATTCGATTCGATTCCGATTCCGATTCGATTCGATTCAATATTGATTATTTTGGATATCAGGTACAATACATGGCAAATTTTCTCAAGGAAAACAAATCTCATAACTAATGCTGTAGCCTACTAGGCTTCATTGGCCTACTATTATATTGAAGGTAAAAATTTACTTTTGTAGCTATATAAACACTTAAAGTGTTACACTTTTATTTATTTTTATAATAATAAAGTTATATGAAATATAAACATTTAAATGGTGGCTGTCATAAAAACTTGCCAGATTTATTCAAACATGCATTAAATATCGAAGAACATTAAAAATTATAATAAATATGTAATCTGGTGCATATATTTAGCAAAATGCTCCTCTTTAGAGTAAATTTTTATAGCTGACTATCGAGTTTATGGTCACATAATGGTTTTTCTGAGGTAAATGTGACGTTACATGACATTGTTTACGAGTTGTTTTACTGACGTCTTTCCACGGTTGAAACACTGATTGAGCGATTCCATATGATACGGATTTCGATAAGTTGTACTCTTATCTTTTAACACACTTTCGGACGTTCATTCATGTTTATTTCGCACTGTAACTGGTATTAATAAGGCAGAAGAGGAGATCTGTGCGCTCCGCGCTGCTGCTTCTCTTGAGCTGAGCGGCCCCAGAGCGATCTCACGCCACAGCGCCAAAACGGTATTTATGTTTTGGAATTTCGTAAGAAAATGGACGTAATTTGAGACTTTATTTAGTATCAATAGTAACAAAGCACAAAGATTATTGCGATTCATTGGATGGGATGCGCGCTACAATGTTCCATTCATTCATCTAATGAAAACAGGATGACTAATCGATTCTTGAGATTTAAGAATCGATATCGGTTCGTAAAAATGAGACTCGATTAATATCGAAAAATCGATATTTTTTACCCAGCCCTAGTAAATTTGGCCAGTATTACACCGCTTCGAAGGACATCCTGGGATTTTTAATGACCACAGAGAGTCAGGACCTCAGTTTAACGTCTCATCTGAAGAACTGTGCTTTTTTTGACCCACACAGACCACAGGGTGAGCACCCCCTGCTGGCCTCACCAACACCTCTTCCAGCAGCAACCTGGTTTTCCCAGGAAGACTCCCATTCAGGTACTAACCACACTCTCAGAAGAAAAGGTTCTATATAGAACCCTAAAGTGTTCTATCAGGCGCTTCATATATGGAACCCCTAAAGGTTCCATATAGAACCCTTTTTATGCAACACTTCTTTGACTTGTCTTACAACATTTATGTTTAAGGTGTTTTTAATGTACTTTCTGGAGCATTACAGTACTCGTCCCCCATTCACTTATGATATAGAGGAGAGCATTCAGCATTCTGATTGAGTTTAGAATAACAGAGTGTGTGAAAATTCTGCTTTTTTTGGGAAGATTCAGGAGATTGAAAAGCACTCAACTGCATTACCACAAAATCAAAACAAAACAAAAAAGCACTGTGGTTGCATGAACACAGATGAATTTACTCTGAGTAATGCTCAAAGGCCCTGCTGGTTTGGACTGAGTAAAATATGTGAATTCAAAATAAAACATGACATTCAAATCTGTTTTTTACAGATGTATTCATTCAGTATACACAATGACGTTTCCTTGACATCTAACAACCTTTAAACAACACAAACACAATTCTCACGAGATCCAGACAGTTAATGACTCTAGTCTTTGTATCCGAAGGCAGATACAGAAAGGAAAAGACGATAACATTGGTTCAAAGCAAATCCCCTGTGTCTAAACGGACAGTCCTCTTCTGCACTATAATCACCCTCTTCATCTGCATGCTCACTTAACTTCATTATCTCCATCTTCTCCCCTCAGGTTATTTACCTCCTCATGTCTTGCCTCTCTCTCACGCTTTCTCTCCTTAATCCCTTGGGTTAGTTACTTCCTACTCTTCATCCCTTTGTGCTCTTTCTTCCATTCTTTTTTATATCAATACCCCTCCTTTCTTTTCTCTCCATCTCTCCTCAGGGGGGAAACATTTACACACCTCCTACCTTTCCCTCTCCTAACGTGTCATTCTTTTTTTCCTCTCTTTTTCACCTGGGAACAGATCTGTCCTTCTCTCATTATTGTGTTCAGAGCTTCCTTTGTTCCTTTAATCATTCTTTTTGTCTTAAGGAGGAGATGACACACACACACACACACACACACACACAAAATAAACCATCACTGAACTTACTTAAGCTGGACTATGACGCTATCTTCTTCTTGAAACAAACTTTGTTGCATTATTTTCCTGTTATCACTGTAAAGCTGCTTTGAAACAAGCTGTATTGTAAAAAGCGCTATAAAAATAAAGGTGACGACTTGTCTTGACACACACAAACACACACACTGCTGTAAAAACTCTACAGAGGGGCAGAAGAAAGTCATGAACGGGTATTTTAGACCCTGGCTTCATTAGCTATTATATAGAGAAGATATTTTAGACCATGGCTACAGTGCATGATGTATTTGCCATATGCAAATACAAGGAAAAAACAGAAGCATCACACACTCTTTCCCACACACACAAACAAACACACACACACACACACACACGCACACTGATTCTCCTGTGAATACGAGATTCCAAGCCGGGTCAGACAGTAAGACTCAGTGGTGCCTGTCCTCTCCCCGTGAACCTACGTTGAGCCGGACCGCTGAATGGCTGTACTGTCCTCCCATTGTTCCATCATGGCATGTTGTCCCATTCCTGCTCCCAAAACATGGACACATCAAACACTCGGCAGATAGACCACCGGCCATCACTCTCCATCTCTCTTTCTTCCTCTCCCTCGATCCTCTGCCAGGGTCATTCCCAACATACCTGTATTTCAGCAGTCTCTCTTGTGGAGCTGCATCACAGGGCTCATTACTGAGACATTAAAACCCCTCAAAGACTCATGCTGAACCTCTGCTGTCCAACATCACAGACAAAGACATGCTGCTATTCAAAATGAAAAGAATACTGCCCATTTTTGAGGGGACAACTACATTTGACAGACTGGGATTGCCCAGCTGTTACTGTATTATCAGCATCTTAACAGTACAAACGATATTTTTATCCTGCATTTCTGATTTAGTCGTTTAACCAGAAATTATTCTTGATTTCACTTTTTAATACTTCCCACAATGCATGAATGGCCATACTGTTAAAATGGCTATTCTCCAACTACTAATGGACTTAACTGCTAAAGTCCACAGTCTGAGTACAAGACGTTATATCCAACACAGCACTGGAGAGCACACCTGGTCTATCTGACACACTACTGTCATGCATATTTAGGCCATCATTTCTGCACATATGCAGGCTCAACAGATCATTATTTTCAGCTGGCCCAGTTGGGTCATTAGTTCTTACTTTAACTAGCAACAAATGCAATAAACGGCAACATTTGCAAGTAATAGCAACATATTTATATATGTGGCAGAAAAAAATATGCGTCTTTATGTTTACAGGATAACAGCTATAAGATAACTCATTCATTCATAAACACAATTTTTCTGGAAACAATGGCATGAGGTATACGTGATTATAATAAAAAAAATTAATACACACTACCTTGAATTTTGAGGATTTTATTTAAAGAAATGAATACTTTAATTCAGCTTAAATTCAAAAGTGACAGTAAAGACTTTTACAATGTAATAAAAATGCTGTTCTTTTGAACTTTTTATTCATCAAAGAATCCTGAAAAAATAATGATCACGTTTTCCATACTAAGCAGAAAAATTGTTTTCAACATTGATAATACTAATGAAAAAGTGGTTTTGAGCGCCAAATTAGCATATTATGATGATTTCTGAAAAAGCATATGACAGACTTAAACTACTTAAACTTTGCTATCACAGGAACACATTTTTAAATATATTAAAATAAAACAGTTACTTTAAATAGTATTTATTATATTGAGTATAAGAGAACCCCAAGCTTTTGAATGTAGAGTAGTAAATATTCATAGCACTATATCAAGTCATTTCTGCAATTTCGACAAAGCCAGCTATAACTAATGTAACCCTACGATATAGGCTACATATACAATATGTGATATATTTAAATTTGCAGAAATCAAACTGAACAACAAAGTTCAAATAGACAAAACCCAAATGTTCCAAATGTTTGCAAGGCATAAAAGCACTTAATCATGATTGATGAACATAAGAAGTAGTGACAGCGCAGTACTGGCCTGGATAGGTCAATGACATTTCCTTCAATGACCTCAGGCCACTGACTGGACCATCCTTATTGTTGAGCCCTGTTATTTATAGCCCAACCAACCGTAGATTTATTTCCATTCTCATCTATCTTCTTTGCTTTGTAGCACTTCTGATCCAAGAACCATCAAAGCATTCAAAAACCAAAACTCGTATTGCAAAAACTGCAGAACCAAAATATAAGTGTTTTTCACACGCCCTCGGTGTCAGGACAGGTATGTTCCCCGCCAGAACACACATGCCGTTTATGAGCTCAAAGGGTTTTCATAATGCAAGATCTGCCCTCCACAGCAGGTGACGTGTCAGACCAATAACCCCAGCCGAGACCTCACAGCCTGGAATAACAGGTGCTGCGGTGGGTTGTGTAGCATTGGGAGTCGATTCAGAAATGATGTACCTCGTTTTTATGTACCCAACCCAAAATAATAATTAGAAATGGCCAAATTGCCCCTCCAATATTTGATATTCTTAATGCTGCTCTGCTGCTTCCCATTATGCACCAGAGCGTTTGTAGTTAGAATGACAAGTTTATGCTGATCTGCCTCGTCAATGTCAAAATGATGGCCAATTAGATCAAAGAAGGCGGAGCTTACTGAGTGCGATTTAGTTTTTACAAGGAAAGAGGGCGAGGTAAGATGCAGGTAGCTAAACATTTCATATTTGACAACTGTTTTGCAATAGAGTGTTTAAAGACCCACAGTAATGTGAACTACTCAACTTTTTTTAATGGAATTTCACCATTTTTAATTGAAAATATGCCATCAATACATGTCATTCATAACTCAATGTGATGAGAAACAAGACATATGACATATTTTTCACATATTGTTGAGTCTTTTTTGACATATTCTGACTTACAAATAAGAGCGAATGTGTGCATATTTTTAAGTGTGAGTTTAAATGGATTACTTTACAACTAGGCTTCTTTTACCATTCTTATTTTTTTTTAATCCTTTAATTCAAGACATCAAGACATGGTTATAACTTTGATGCTAATTTGTTTTAAACAGAGTAGGCTTCTTTTTTCAAACCATGAGAGAGATTCATATTTTGAAAAAGTGATGATATGTGTTCTGTAAATACAGCTAAGCCATTTGGGTGGTACAAATGGATCATCAGCATAATTACAGTCACTGAATGCTTTCTGGGAATGCAAACAAAAGCAAAATCACATACCCACAAAGAGACCCATTTCTCTTTATAAAAATCTCCATAGCCACTACTTCACTGACTGATGTAAACATAATTAAATTAACAATAAGCCTAGCTCTAAACAGAAAAACACTGCAATGTCCTCATTTATATACTGGAGGAAAATGATGCGTTCTTGAACAAATAATCCAGTGCACCAGAGTACATTTCACTCCCAAATATGCTGAGCCTTGTTTTTAATTTCTCTAGTTACAGAGTAAATAGTATTAAAAGCAAAGCTTTGCAACAACAAATTCCAGTGTGCGTCAGATATTTTGTTGGCTATAAACCATACCTGAGTATGAGAATGAAATGCATGCATGAAAAATGAGACAACACGCCCAAAAGAGCGACAAGTGCAGCGAGCAACAAAGAAAGATGGAACAACAGGTGGCTGCAAACCATAACGCCACAGCATTAGGTTCGAAAATTAACCATGGTTTTAAATAATAATAAATAAATAAATAAATAAAAACATGGTAACCACAAATTAACCATGGTGTGCCTCACTAACCATAGTTTAACCATGGTATTTATAGTAAAACTGTGGTTATTATAGCCTACAAATGGTATAATCCGCCAAAAAAAACACATACTTTTACCCTGGTTAGGGGGTTTGACACCCTATTACACCCAAATTTTGTTAAAGAAATATGTTTTTAAAGTATATAATCGCTTTTAATATAATTTTAACAATCACAAAAGTTTAGTCAGAAATCGCTAAATGTGTCAAAAGGGGGTAACCATAGCAACAGGCGATCGGTGTCGGTACATGGACAAAAATAATAATAATAATTACTGTCATTATTTATCACGTTATTATGGGTTTGCACAACACACACACACACACACACACAAATGTATCTCAAAAAAATCGTTAGTGTTTTGTTGAAAACGTCTTAAGGTAGTTAGCGAATTGTGCGCGAGAACCTGACTGCGCCCAGAAAATAACTAAACTGACAGAAACTGTTTTGAAAAGTTGAGCTCCCTGAAAGTCACTCGTATGGTGTGAATCTCCTGTCCACACCTCTAAAGTAAGACCAACACTGCACTGAAGCTCTCACGACCGTGGGAAAAAAAAGTCAACGCGGGTTAAACGGTGGCTGAAAATAGCGCGTAATCGGCGGCTTACCTGCGGCTGTAGCGCGAGCGAGAGCAGGAGAATCACGGTCCAGTGCTGTCCGTGCACTACATCCCTTATCATCGCCCTAACTGCACTCCTTCTGCCCGTCCTCGAGCTCTCCCAGGAGTGCCAACTCTTTCTGTCTCTATCCAGTCTCATAGCAGACATTTGCGCACTTGGTCTGTGCGTACGCAACAGCCTTTCCCTGTTTGGTGACGCTCTCTTCACACTGTCCATCTGTCCATTATGAAGACAGCCTGAGAACGAGCAAATTAAAGGTGGCAAATGAGATGCACAGGTAAATGATAAAACCACGGAGGTCTTTCTACACTCCGCGCGCGCGCCTCCTCCTTCTCCTCGAGCTCTTCCTCCTCTTTCCACCTGCTGCGGTTAAGAAGCTTTGAATGTTCGACCTGCTGGTCTACTGACTGGATTTTTTTATCCCATTTACTTTCCCACTCACTGAAAGCTGCTCTTTACCCTCACGTGAACCGGACAGGCTGGTGTGTGCGCGTGCAGGGCGCGAGACTCACTGCGCATCACCGTGGGAAGCACTAGTGGTTAAAGTTGCCAGGAGAGGGTGTGTCCTCCGCATGGGGAAATCCGTCACCTGTCTCCAACTTGAAAATAATATACACACATTTGTCTTTTACAAACTGAATTAGATCAGTAAAATTGTTGTCATGCAATGTCAAGACTCAAGAGTGATGCTGTTACTTCCACAACTTGTAACACTTATAGACTAATTTTTGCCCGAATTTACTGTGGTAATCTCATAATTATTATAGGGTAGAAAGTTGAAATATGTTTTTTAAAGTGTCATTAATGCAAAATACTAAATAGACTATTGTGATAGACCAATGACAGACAAAGCAGAATCCTGGTAAAAGAGATTCATCTGAAAGGTAAAATTATTCTATTTTACGTACATACATGCATATGAATATTTACTTATTTAATTGCCCATATTTTAATTGAAGATGTGTCATAATAGCAACACTATGCATTTAATGACTTCACTCAGCTAACCTACAGGTTTTAATGAAAGCAAAGATTCTGAAAATACTGAATAATAACCCCATTAATTACAATAATTATTCATTTTAAACATGTATAACACTACTAACTCTGGTGGCCCATTTTACCCCAAGGGTCTAATTTCATCTTTTTACTATAAAAATAAACTTGTTTCAGAACGTTCAGAGAACATTGAAAAGTAAAGTTCCCATAATATTTGCAAAATTATAAAATGGAACGTTCCCTTAACGTTCAGATAACCAAGAGATGGGGGGGGGGGGGGGGGGGGGGTACACGTCACACACGGAAGCGTCCGCGCCCTCAGATAACTTGGACATGGCTGTGGTTACAAGAGGTAAAAACAATATAAATACTGTTCGTTTTCTCACAAAAACCACTCGTTTCGTGTCTTAGGGCATCAATGTGTACTTACATTTAAGAGTCATTAAATAATGTTTAATTTTGACTGCTCTTTGAGGAGGACCCCCTTCACCTCCATTGTATGACTGACAGACAACAACAGTTTTACCTAAAATTATCAAAATTGAAGATACTGTGGAAACAAAGACACCTACATCTTGGATGCACTGGAGGTAAGCTAAAACATATCAAAAATTAATTTCAAAGTGAACTATCCCTTTAAGGTGATGATACACGGGGCTTGTAGGCTTCTAGTCTTTGCTGGACTAGAACATTTTGAGCAATGTTGCTGGGCAATCTTGCAGAGGGATTGTTGCTTGGGCACTTTCCCACTGAAAATGGGCAATACATTTCTATCTGGATAGTTTAGGTCGGTCGTGGGCCCTGTGTCTCACGTGGTTGCCCGTTGACGGCAACATTGCTCAAAAAATTGCCCTGTGTATCATCACCCTTACTGGGGAGGGTGATGGCCATGTATAATGCTGAGTTCACACATTTCCAAATTGGGTTAAACTGATGCTGTTCATGAAGCACCTCTAGTTACATCACTTCTTGGTCTTCATGCATAAATGAGCCGATGCTGGACTCTGTCAGAAAAACACATGAGGTCAACCTCAACACATCTGCATCTCATCTGTTGAGTAATAATTACAGCAGTTTATAAATTACAGTGATGCCCATTTTTGGCTCCCCACAGAACCAGCGAAGCATTTTTAGAGGCGGTTCGGGGGCCGGTGCCTACTTGCGAACCAGTTCTTTGTGTTTCGACAGCCAAAGAACCGGTTCACGGCCAGGAAAATTGGTTCCAACTCTTCGGCACCAACTCTTTGCTGGACTAGAACCGTTCTTTCACCACGTCATGCTTACGCGGGGGCTGGGGTGGGGTTATTGTGACCAACAACAACGTACACAGTGACGTAACAACGTCGTTCACTGGGCTCTCCAGTCAGTGGAAAAACAAACAGGTTCTGAGAAGGTTCGCAAGTTGAACCAACTTTGAACCAGCACCAATTCCGAACCAGTTCTTTTTTGGTGGAAACGAGGTATCAAACAGTTATCAAAACCTTAGTTTTAAGAATATTTAAGAACCCCTTTCCACTATAAAGAATCTAACAGTAATTGCCCACAATAAACTATTAATCACCCGGAACTCTTTCCTCGACCTGTTGATGAAGTCTACAGCTGTCATTAATAATGAATGAATTGCTGTGAGAGTATGACAACTATAGTAGCCAGGGATACACTAGTGCATGCTATCCCACAATGCACTAGACTGGTCTGGAAATTCTCAGTAGGGTTTCTTTTCATGTGCACTCCCATGGCAGTTGAGGAATAATAGGTCTCAAGCTTCACTTAATCTCTGAGCGTGATCAAAGTGCTGCGGCACCAATTAAAAGACCCTGTCAGAAGCCGGACAATACACAGACAGAGGCCTGTTACACTCAATCCTCGTGCACATTTACATTACCGCCCGCTTGTTATCACATCACAGCTAAACGTGGAAGCGGCAGGCTTTCTCGGACTCAATCATTGTTGGGGGAGGAGGAAAAACCATTAAACCCAGAATCAGCTATTGTTTCCAAGACGAATACAGATGATTGAGCATTTCACGAAGATTAAATATTTCTTTGTGTTTACAGTAGATTTGTGTCATTACTGAGGACCACACACATTGCCTATTGACTGTTTATAATTCCACATGGCTGAAGAAATAAATGAGAAAAAACATTTCATTTCAGGAGTCCTTTAGAAGTAACAAACAAGCCTAGTAGTTGTTTACTGGTTTTAGAGAGGTTTTGGCCACTCTTCAGCTTCATTTTAAAGCAGCTTGGCCATACTAGATCAGCCTAAACCAGTCTTTTGACTGAATATTGTGGAGAATATACGCATAAAGCCTACATATCGGCATCATATCACTGCTTTCCAGCAATCAGTGAAGTTTCCACTGTGTGCTGCAGTTGCTATACACAAAGCATCCGCTTTATGCTGAAAATATAATGAGCCGATTTTATTGACTCGCTCCCGTTTCTCCCCCACTCGCGGTGGGATGGACTTGTTGCTGACGTGCACATCCCTGGAAATCGGTTATTTCCCAAAGTCGAGTGACCTATGGCCAGAACAGAGGGCTCTTCAAGTCCGGCTGAGATTAGCATAGAGCGGCTCTGACCTCGACTCAACTGAATTTTAATAGCTCTTTATTCCTACCGACCCTAAAGCCGTGCTGAGAGCTGATATTCAGAGATAATGATGGATCAGGAAATTACACCTGTGCTGCTGTGGATTCTAACTAAATATTTTCCTCACAACCTACACTGTAAAAAAAAAAAATCCCGTAAAAAAAAAACGGCAAATCTCTGGCAGCAAAGCTTCCAGACGGATTCCGTTAAATTACAGCAAATAACCATTTTACAAAATTACAGGCAAAAACCGTAAAAATTGTTTAAATTACAGTATATTACTGTTGATAATGGCTTATTAAACCGTGGAAAAACAGATAAATTATGTCAAATTACATTAAAAAGACATTTAACTGTAAATTTAGGGTTTTATATAATAATGCTGTCTATCTACAGTAATTATATCGTTTTTTCTGTGTTAAATAACAATGAAATTATGTATAAAAATGCAATAAATACATAAATTAAAATACAAATGTTTGTAAATTTAGTTTTATTTTTTATTTGTACAGATCCAATTTCACAACTTTGACCAATCTCTATTTAAGCACTTAATAACAACAAATTTCCAGTCAATTTCTGTTAATTAACTAAATGTATGAGTACAGAATACATGCACATTTACACTATTAGTAATTGAACAAACACTGAACATCAAGATAAGTGATTAATAGGAAATAGAAGCTTAGTATATCATTTAGAACATGTAAAAATATCCTCATTAAAAGGCAATTGATGTATACTTTAAACATTTACAATTACATTTAATCCAAAGTGACTTACCAATTAAGATAACAATAGAAGCAACAAGTGCAGAGACAAGTCCCAGTAGCACAGTACACATAGCAAGTTTTTTTTTTTTTTTAAAACAAAGATTTAGTATTATTGGGGCAAGTATTTATGAAAAAGATGGATCTTTAGCAGTTTCTTGAAAATGTGTTGAGTTGCGCCGGTCATTCCACCAGCTGGAAACAGTCCAGGTAAAGGTCAGTGAAAGTGGTTTTGTGTCTCTTTGGGATGATGGCACCACAAGAAGCTGTTCATTTGCAGAACACAAGCTTCTGGAGGACACATAGATCTAAAGTAGTGAGTTTATGTATAGGGCAACCTTTAAAGACCACTCTTGCTGCAGCATCTGGATCAGTTGCAGAGGTTTGACTGATGCTGGAAGGCCTGTCCTGAGAGAATTACAATATCCAGTCTGGATAGAGCAAGAGCTTAGACCAGGAGTTGTGGAGCTCTGATAGGAAGGGCCTGATCCTCCTAATGGTGTAAGGAAAATCAGCAGGATCACAGCAAGTATGGTTTGGTTGAAACCATAAGCAGTTCTGTCCTGGCAAGGTTGAGTTGAAGGTGAAGGTCATTCATCCAGCAAGAATGTTCCATCAGCTATAGGCCGAGATGCAAGCAGCAACCGTCAGATCATCTGGCTGGAATGAAAGGTAGAGATGTGTGTCATTAAGCAGTGATAGGAAAACCCATGTTTCTAAATCTAAACGACAGAGTCTAGTTACAAAAAAAAAAAAAAAAAAAACAGTGTTGAAATGAACTTTTACAACAATACCACAGCTGTATATCAACCTTTTATTGTGTTCTCGTCATTTTACTGACGATCGCTTCTCAAATCTCTGCGAGGTCAACGCGGGTTTTGCAAAACGCTCATCCATTAAAGATGGGTCAGTACCCATTTTATTTGGACCAAATTGCTCATCTGAATCAAAACCTGTACACTGTAAACCCTAACGCTCAAAATACTTAATTGGTTTGAGTAGGAAAAACTTAAATTAAACTAATTAGTTCAGTCAAATTAACTTTTATGAGTATTTAGCACTTTCTTTTTCTTTCAAGTTCACAGAATGGATATATTTTAAGTAGTGCTGGGCAACGATTAAAAATTTTAATCGCGATTAATCGCATGATTTTCTTGCCATTAATCGCGATTAATCGCATTGTTACGCGCAA